GTGTCCTTGCAGGCCACCAGTACAAGCCGACCCGCCGTTGTAGCCGTCGTCTTCGTTCTTGTCGCGCTGCTTACGATTTGACCTCCACGCCAACTTCGCAGCGCGTTTTCTCTGCGAAAACGCGATATTCTAAGATAACGCTTAACGAAAAACATCCTTTTGTATGGACATGGTTTCACGAATTATTTACATGGAGCAACATTTTTCTCGATATAGTAGATATTCTAATCAATTTTTTTTTCCAAGAAGAACAATTTAAAAGAATAAAGAAGATGAACTATTATAGTAACAATCAAGATTCTATAAATAAATTCAAAAACACTTAATTATTAATAATTTAATTTATTATTAATAAATATACTTAGTAAATTAAACTATGACAAGATTTGTCAATTAGTTGAGAACTATCATTGTATAATTTCTTTTAAATATCAAATTGACGGAATTTGATATATTAAATTACAATTTTTAATTATGCGAAGTAATTTTGTAAGAGAATGCGAATAAATAGATATATAAAATATCTTTTTATCGTTTAATTTTTATAATATTAATGAATTAAACGAATTAATATTATTCAAAATAATATATTTTCTTACAATATTTTGAAAAATTTTTATAATTAATAATATATTTATCTGATGATATAAATATTATAATTGAATTTGAATATATCGACGAGAAATATATTTCATAATTCTGGATATAAGATGCTCGTAAGGAAAAATATATTTAAATAGTATGATACATATAAGTTTTTTGGCATGTAATATTACTATAAAAAGTGCTAAAGATAATCATATAGTGAGTAGATAAAATACATATGTGCGTCCACATTCTATCTTTCTCGTTTCTCAATGCCTCTTTATTACTCCCACTTCTTTTAGCACACTGTGTCATCACTCAGCAGACGACACACGGATAATACGTATTAACGATTTATCCGATGAGAACGTCTGATAGTATAGCACGTATATTACAGAGGTTAGATCGATATTGCATTGTAACGTAAAACAAACAATCAATGGTAAAAAATTTAAATTTTTAAATTGTATTTTATAAAACTATGCATATAATTGAAACAATCTAAAAACATCTACGGAAGTTCTACTCTATCTGCAAAGTTCCTTTTATTCCTTCTCTTCTCCCCTCCCTTCCTGCTTCTAATCTCCCCTCCCTTTCACCACCACCAAACGACATTTGCTGTCTCATTACGTTCCTTCGATCTTTCTCACTTCGCTTTTCTTTCCCTTTCTCCCTTGCTCCTTCTATCTTTTTCGCATTCTCTTACTCGCTCTTTTGTTCTTACTTAGTTCTCCCTCTCCTTCTTGCCTCCCCGAAGATCTCTCTTGAGCGACCGGCTATAAAATGGCAACCGTTGCGACTGAGCACGATATCGAGTGGCACACGCCACTGCTACGTTTACCGTACCTCTGTGCTTTTTTTCCTTGTGTCTTTGTTCCTCTCTTTTTTGTCATCTGTCGCAGCGTCACTTAATCCAATCCGGTCATTCGATTCGTGACTACGAACCGGTTCAATTTTGTGTTGTATCGCGTCAGAAACCGTTGTACCGACGACCACGCGACAATTTATTGACCCTTGCACGATTCCCAGGAGTGATATTCAAACTACACTACAAATTGTTCAATTTCTTTCACCGTGTTCTCGATTCTTTTCCGATCAGATCAACACTGGTTTTCTATCACGTTATTCTCGGCGTGTCTAATCTCGTTGCCGTGTAAATGCTAATGATTAAATCGGTATTGGATATGATCATCCGTGTACGAGCCAGCGACTACACAACGAAAGAAATCGCCAAAAAATTCTGTTTCTTTTATGATACTCTTTCAATGTACAAATATGTACTCGAACGGAAGATCGTCGAATATAAGAGTGTATGTAACTCGTGAGGGACGCGTTTGTATCTACTTGATCGACAGAATCGTTACTAAGTTCCGTGCAAGTTTTTTTCACGACGCGTCTCGACAATGTGGCTCGCTACGGAAGCGAAACGATTTTCCCCGAAGCCGAACCCGGGAGTGACTAAAATCGAAATCGGTGGACGAACAGGGGCGCGTCAGGGCGCGCATGTGCGACGGCGCCGCCGGTCGTCGACGCATATTATCCGTACCGTGTTTCGTGTTGCTATCGTGTGCGCGTTCCCGGGTCTCTCTTCGCTAAGGAATTACTAACCGACCTGATCACGTTCGACTCACTCGAGCCTCGCCGAGCGAATTCTCATCGATCGGGAGCCGCTTCTACGGCTCTCTTTTTTTCGCGCGCATCTTTAAGATGCCCGCCATGTTGGAACAACATACATACAAGTGAAATGTCTTGCTAATTGCCTTACATGTTTGAATATATTAGTTTACATAACAAATAATTTTTAAATTTTTCAAATTAAAATAAATGTATGATAATTATGGGTAATGTTAACTTAATGGAAAGAATTCATATATTTTCAACGTAATTATTTAAGTGAAAAATTTTAATATTAATATAAAACTATAATTTTTACAAATGCAATAACTATACATGTTTTTTATATAAAAATAATTTTTATTTTAAGATCAATATAAATCAATATAGATAATTCAATGTGAGTATTGTAATAGATTTTTACTTACTTAGAAATTAATTATTTATTACTAATCTTCTGGAGATTCATTTAAATTTTATTAATAATCATTATAATAAAACTTATAATAATTTTTTAGTTATATGAAAGAAATATGAATGCAATAAATAAAAAGATTTCATTGAAAAATTATATATTCTATTCAATTACATTCCTAATATTTATATATGTAAATTTTAATTATTAAAAATATAAAACTTCAAAACACTTACTTTTTCTAGATGTGGCTCGTGTTTTCGGTCTCCTCTCTTTTTTCTCCTCTGGTAAATCATTTTCTATATGAACTACTCGTTGTGGTACGTTTATAGAATTGTCAGTATTCCCTTCAATATCTACAAAAAATAAAGTTTATAACAACATTATATGATGAGAACATCTCTCTAAACGTAATAATTTTAGTAATATATTAAGATAGTAATATATTAAACAATTAAATCGTCATCGATTAACAAGTATAGATTAACAAGTAAACTTACTTGTTAGCACACAAGGTTTACCAAGAGCCAAGTAACGTTTCCTGGCAACTTGAGCAGCCGCAAAATCTGGTTTATGATTGTGTTCCATACGCACCCTTGGCTTCGTGCAACTCGTAGTTGTGATAAGACTGCCTCTACAATGCATAGTTCTGCCGACGCATCTCCATCGGATATTGTATGGTTGCTTTTTATGCAGTGTGTACATATAGCCATGATGAATTAACTTCGGTCCTCCCTTGTTTGATAATACAACCTATGATACAAATTTATTAAATTGATTGATATCTATTTTTAAATGAATAATTGTTAATTAAATTTGACAAAATTATTGATAAATTAAGTTATCATTAGTATTTAATATTTGAAATGCTAATCAATATTTCAAAATATTGATTTCAATTTTTTGCAAATTAAATTTGCAAAATTTATAAAATAAAATTATGAATCGATTATGTAAATGTTTAATTATATTTTGAAATAAGAGATCATATTTAAATATTTGATTATCAGGAATAAAACAAATGATTTTTATTTAAAATAATATTCATCTTGTAATTATCAAAAGTATTTTATTTGGTTTTTTTAATATTTAATTTGTGAATTCATATAATAGCTAAATATTTATATAAATAATTTCATTATTTTTAAGGTTTTTTGTCTCGTACTTCGGCTACATTTGGGTCATCGTCATCGGTATTCTCAGAAAGAACGGACGACGTGGAAGCTTCTTCCTTGATTTGTGTTTTGTTTTCGTTAGACATACTTTTAACACGTTGTGGCATCTTGTTTGTTATTTTTCTATTTTTCCTGCAAACTCTCAATCCAATACTTGTGTCATTGACCTAAAGAGATGATTGTTATTACTAAAAAAACATAAGTAAAAAAGTTCAACCACATATATGCTCATATATATATATATATATATATATATATACCCAAATAATCCAATTATTAATTTCTATTTTATTTACATTTTTGAGAGAAAAGTTACAGTTAATACAGAATTCATTTTTATAAAGAAAATTTCTGTAAAAATATTACCATAAAAATGATTATAGAAAAAATTTTATTTTGGATTTTGAAAACGGAGTCGATCGGAAAGTTAAAAATTCATGGAAATCGACGATTTTAAGTAATATACATACAGACATTGCACGATTTACGCAATTGCATGTTTGCTGGCTTCTATTACTGTGAAATCGTTCGAACTTCTCAGTGCCTATGCACGCGCTAAAAATAGTATAGAACAGAGAAATGAACAGTAGGTTTATAAAATCTTGAGAATCATGCGTATTAGAAATTTTAATATGTCTCGTATTCGTCTGCCGATTTTTTTTCTATTTCCCTTTTCCTC